GTGTGTGTGTGTGTGTGTGTGTGTGTGTGTGTGTGTGTTCCAGGAGGAATAAAAAACACGGAACAAATGAAAAAAAAAACAACTAACGGGAACACTCATTAATATTTTGCACAGACCTATTTTGCCGTTATGCATTCATTTTATAGAAATATCTGCTCTATTAAAAACACAGAGCCTAGTGATATTGCTTCCATTTTTCATTCTGCATGAAAACTTAAGATGCAAAAAAGAAACCAGACACAAAGCTTTACTTCCGGGATGCATTTCAGCCGTTRTGTTTTATTAATCGGTGCAATTGCCTACAGTTGCTACGAGGCAGTTTCCTCRTGGGCCTTTATTGTGAAACAATGCTGCCATCGTACGAGGACTATTATTGTGCTGCACTTATCTTACTAATGAGGTGTGAGAACAATCCAAAGTACGGGAAGTTTTTCGTGCCTGCTGCTAAACAATGCTCCTTTCTTCGGGTAACAGGTTTGCCAAACATCTCACCTCCATGTCACCGGGACGTCTCCATGGCGATGTTTAGCGGCGCCGAGCGGCACTGGAACGAGTCGGGCGGCTTCGCGTGGGACGAGAGGAACGACAGCTCGGACGCCTCGGCCAAGGATGACGGGGAGTGCAACTACTACGCCATGCTGTACTCCCTGCTCATCCTGGCCATCGTGTTCGGCAACGTGCTGGTGTGTCTGGCTGTGCTGAGGGAGCGCTCGCTGCAGACCACCACCAACTACCTGGTGGTCAGCCTGGCCGTGTCTGACCTTCTGGTGGCCTCGCTGGTCATGCCCTGGGCCGTGTACCTGGAGGTGAGCACCTGTTTGTTTCAATGAAATATCAGAGAATCTCCAATCTAGTGATGCACTCTATGAGCGTTAAAATGTGTTGTTATGATGGCGGCTGTTGTTTTTATGCTCTAGTTTATTCGTCCTGATTTGAAGTTTGCATAATTTAACTATAGGGATGTGGGCCAGATCTGGTGTCAAGCTGGCATGTCTGGCTGACTGTTGTCATTGCAGCTGGTTTGTCAACTGGTTATGGGCCAGGTCTGGCAATGATGGCACTATTTTTAAGCTGGAGTGCCACACCTGGCATGGTTTGTTAATGTGGCACAAATCTGTC